CTTTTCTTTCAAATATTAAATTGTTGGAAAAACACATTTATAGGTACTCATGTTTGTGACCAGGACAACAAAAGAGGGTCTGAATGGGGTCTTCAATTTTGTATTCTTTAAATGTTTAGCGGTGGGGGCATTAATGATTAAGTTTTACCCTTGTCTGTTTGTACGTATGTACGAACATATGTCTGTACGTCCCAAAATTGATTTCCGTTCTCTAACTTGAGTTGCCTCTACCAAATGTTATGAAAATTATACACAATGCTTATTACCACAAAACACAGATCAAGATTGAATTTTGGTGGCATCACTTTAACTGTTCTAGAGTTATGCCCCTTTATAAATGGAAAAATTGCAAAATTTGTAGTTTCCATTCTCTAACTTAAGTTCGCCTCAACCAAATGTTATGAAACTTATACACAATGCTTATTACCACAAAACACAGATCAAGTTTGAATTTTGGTGGCGTCACTTTATCAGTTCTAGAGTTATGGCCCTTTATAAATGGAAAAATTGCAAAATTTTTATTTTCTTCTTAATGTCAAGTAATTATACGACCGCAAAAAAAATTTGTGGTCGTATATTGGTATGACGTTGGCGTCGTCGTCTCCGGCGTCGTCGTCGTCGTCGTCGTCCAAAGACACATTGGTTTTCGCACTCTAACTTTAGTTTAAGTGAATGGATCTTTTTGAAATTTTACCATAAGGTTAAATACCACAAAAGGAAGGTTGGGATTGATTTTGGGGTTATGGTACCAACAGTTAAGGAATTAGGGGCCAAAAAGGGGCCAAAAATAAGCATTTTCTAGTTTCCAGACAATAACTGTGGAACGTTGTATGGATCTCTCTAAAATTATACTTCAAGTTTCCATACCACAAAGGGATGGTTAGGATTTGCTTTGGGGGGTTATGGCTCAATCCGTTTAGGAATTAGGGGCAAAAAAGGGGGAAAAACAAGGTTGTCCTGGTTAATGGACAAATACTTTAGTACAAAACATAATTTAAAGCAGTGCAAGGGAGATAAATCAAATACATCATTGAAATTATCCCCCTTACACTGCTTTTAAATTATGTATAAAGTAATGGTTAATAAACAATAAAGATAATTTAAAACAGTGTAAGGGAGGTAATCCAAATACAACGTTTTGGTTACTTCCCTTACACTGCTTTTAAATTATGTTTAAAGAAATGCATATTTATAAAGGAAGACCAGTAAAAATATCTGCAAATGTTGCATCATTTTTTTTTACAAAAAAATCCATATGAAAGATTTGACACTATATTTTTAATTCTATTATAAAATAGATTAAGTTAGCACTATGGTAAATTTAAATGGGTAATTATGGTTGCCAACTCCATTGGAAATTTGAATTGAGATTATCACCATATCTTGAGGGAAAGAATTTTTTTTGGGGAAAAAAAGGGGGGGGGGGATAAAAAGAAATTGTGGGGGGTCAATTTTTTCTCATTTCAGATTTCAGAAATTAAAAAGAATTATTCTTCAAATATTATTTTTTTTTCAAATTTCAAATATTGAAAAATTTCAAGAAGTAATCTTTAATTGCACAGTATGGCGCATTAGATTTGTTAAATCTTTGATCACATTTATTTATTTGTTATGCCGAATCTAACAGTGTATTTAGATTTTTAATTTTGGGTCCAGTTTTCAAAATAGTCTACATTAAGGTCCAAAGGGTCCAAAATTAAACTTTGTTTGATTTTAGCAAAAATTGAATATTTGAGGTTCTTTGATATGCTGAATCTAAACATGTATTTAGATTTTTGATTTTTGGCCCAGTTTTCAAGTTGGTCCAAATTGGGGTCCAAAATTAAACTTTGTTTGATTTCAACAAAAATTGAATATATGGGGTTCTTTGATATGCTGAATCTAACCATGTATTTAGATTTTTTATTTGTGGACCCCGTTATCAAATTGGTTCATATTGAGGTCAAAAGGGTCCAAAATTAAACTTTGTTTGATTTCATCTAAAATTGAATTATTGGGGTTCTTTGATATTCCAAATCTAACCGTGTATTTAGATTTTTAATTTTGGGTACCGTTTTTTAAATTGGTCTACATTAAGGTCCAAAGGGTCCAAAATTAAACTTAGTTTGATTTTAACAAAAATTGAATTCTTGGGGTTCTTTGATATGCTGAATCTAAACATGTGTTTAGATTTTTGATTATGGGCCCAGTTTTCAAGTTGGTCCAAGATAGGGTCCAGTATTTAAACTTTGTTTGATTTCAACAAAAATTGAATATATGGGGTTCTTTGATATGCTGAATCTAAACATGTATTTAGATTTTTGATTATGGGCCCATTTTTCAAGTTGGTCCAAATTGGGGTCCAAAATTAAACTTTGTTTGATTTCAACAAAAATTGAATATATGAGGTTCTTTGATATGCTGAATCTAACCATGAATTTAGATTTTTTATTTGTGGGTCCCGCTATCAAATTGGTTCATATTGAGGTCAAAAGGGTCCAAAATTAAACTTTGTTTGATTTCATCAAAAATTGAATTATTGGGGTTCTTTGATATTCCAAATCTAACCGTGTATTTAGATTTTTAATTTTAAGTCCCGTTTTTTAAATTGGTCTACATTAAGGTCCAAAGGGTCCAAAATTAAACTTAGTTTGATTTTAGCAAAAATTGAATTCTTGGGGTTCTTTGATATGCTGAATCTAAACATGTGTTTAGATTTTTGATTATGGGCCCAGTTTTCAAGTTTGTCCAAGTTGGGGTCCAAAATTAAACTTTGTTTGATTTTAACAAAAATTGAATATATGGGGTTCTTTGATATGCTGAATCTAACCATGTATTTTGATTTTAGACATTGGACCATAATAGGTAAATTAAAAAAATTCAAGTTCTTAGACCACATTCTTTCTGTGTCAGAAACCTATGCTGTTTCAAATATTTAATAACAATCCAAATTCAGAGCTGTATGAAGCTTGAATGTTGTGTCCATACTTGCCCCAACTGTTTAGGGTTCAACCTCTGCGGTCGTATCAAGCTGCGCCCCAGCGAAGCATTTTATTTTAAAATTGGAGTTATCTTCCTTTGTCCATGATTATAGTTGAATCAACTACAATCAATGCTTTATACAATGCAATGTTTAATTTTGACTTCCAGTGATAAAACACAGATCAAGTTGAATTTGGGTAGTGTCACTTTAACCATTATTGAGTTATGCCCCTTTATAATTCGAAAGATTGCAAAATTTTTAGTTTTCATTCTGCAACTTAAGTTTGCCCCAATCAAACATTATGAAACCTATATGAAACCTATACACAATATTCATTTCCACAAAACTAAGACCAAGTACAAATTTTTTGTTTCCGTTTTCTAACTTTAGTTTGCCTCAACCAAATGTTATGAAACTTATACACAATGCTTATTACTACATAATACAGATTAAGTACCAAATTTGGTGGCGACACTTTTACCATTCTTTAGTTATGTCCCTTTATAAACATAAAAATTGCTGAATTTTTTAGTTTGTCTCAACCAAATGTTATAAAACTTACACACAACCGTTCTAAAGTTATGCGTGTTTACAAATAGAAAAATTGCTGAATTTTTAGTTTCTGTTCTCTACTTAAGTTAGCCTCAACCAAATGTTATGAGACTTACACACAATGCTTATTACCACAAAACTCCCTTTATAACAAATATGTCCCTTTATAACTATATGATATGCAAGCGGGGGCATCATCTGTGTCCACATGTGGACACTATCCACATTTATTTGTTTTTGCCTTTATATTCCCTATTCTGTAAACCCCATCAAGACGGTCAGGGGAATTACTTATATGAGTGATTTCTTAAATCACTGATTCGAGTAACATTTTTCCAGAAAGGTTGGAAGTTAGAGTTGTCTTTCTTTAATAATCATCTATTTTAGTAGTACATGTACAAATAAATCACTAGACTAAGTGATTTAATTTTATTGTAGCTTTAAATGTATAATACTAATGATCATGATCATGATGATACAGGAACTAATTATGTTGCTGAAAGTATCAGAACCAAGTTCTGTGTTTATCATGTTTATCAGGTAATACCCTTGTACTGAATCTGGGATAATGACATGACAATCAGTTGTTTAAGTATCATACCTCTGTTTTCTTCCAAAAAATTACTTCTTTTAAATATCATTATTTTAATTACCCCCAGTAATTTCAACACCGTGAACAGTAAAATTTTATTACATAATCTGAAAGCTGAAACCTTGAATTTAACAGGAAAAAACTCACACTGCTGGGGAAAATCTGTTTAGAAAGTATAGGTTCATTATGTAAAGCCTTCATTATAGCATTTTTTTCAACAAATGTAGAATTTACAGACGAATGATTGCATCAAAGGCATAAACCTTGCTACTTAAAAGAAGCAAAACGTTCATTTATTTCAATTTTTCTTATAATTAGATATAATCTAAACCTGTATGTTTAAAATTTTGGTAAAATTACAAAATCACAGAACTTCTAATTTGCTACTTAAATGAGTGATTTATAATCTCTTATTTCAGTAATTCCCCTGACTGATCAAGAAAATGGAAATAATTTATATTACTATTATAGTATTTTTAGACAATTCACAAATGTACAATCAGGATTTGGCTTTCGTGACGATCACCATGATCACAGTTGACTAAGTTTTAATACATATATAACAAATGGAAAGGGATGAAAGGATTGATTATATGTTAAGTAAACAGGATTGACTTTTGGACTAAGTGTTTTTTTCATGGTAAGCCTAACTGAAAGTCATTGATGTCTAAAATTATCTTCTCTTGTGCAATCAAGGGTTGAATAGAATAATAAGTGATTCAGGCCTCTAGGAATCCCTATGTCCTTATCATTCAATGGTTTCCTTCATTGAAACATGATATATCATTTGGTCTTAAGGGTGTCATTCCATTTATTAAATAGCTTTGTAGCCAACACATGTATGGAAAACTCACATATCAGTATTTTAGATTTGTCTATACATTTTATTTTCAGTCCTAGTAATGTACCATTAAAGTCACCAATGGATTTAGCCAAATACCTGACTACTGAGGGTACATGCAAGTGTGGATTAGAATGTCCTGTATTGATCAACAAAGTGTTTAATTTTGATGTAGGAATTCTTTCTAGGATGTGGACATTAGACATAGACTGTCCTAAGGATCTGACAAAACTTTGTAACCATAAACGGAAAATGATAGCTATGGCAGCATTTCATACAAACTACTCAATTTCATCATCCCAGTTCTCAGATACTGTATCTGTAAATTCTCTGAGTGGAAATATTTCAAGTACAACAGTTAGTAAAACTAAATCAGGTTTGTAAAGTTGCAAATGTAAACAGGTGTTATTAGAAAAAAGATAATGTGAGTTTTTTTATGCTAGTTGCCTTCAATAGTAGGTGAAATGGGTTTTCTGATCTGTGTATCCATATGTCTGTCATTCGCTCATTTAAAAAAGTAGTGATGTTCAACTACAAATATAACATTGATTGGGATAACTTTATATCAAGCAACATGAAAAATAAGTCTGTTTTCAAATGCTATACAAACATGTGTCATATTACAGATATAACCTTCTTTTATTAGTTTTTGAAAAAAAATATAGAAAAAGAAATGTATTATTATTGATCTTTAGTCAGTTAATAGCGAAATAAGTCATATATATGTAAATATTTTTTTTTTTTAACTTTATGGCTGCATCACAGCTAGTAACATGGACAAGGTCTAATGCTAGAATATGGTAACATGGACACGGTCTAATGCAAGAATACGGTTGACCTAAAGTAAAGGAGATATCAAGGGGAATTCAAATTCCTTCATAAAAAGGGACAACATCTTGGCAAAAAGAAAAAAAAAGACATACTGTTTACTGACAGTAGTAATACATGTATATCATTTGTATGTGTTCTCTTTTCAAGATTAAATGATTGAATATATTGATAATGTGACCTTTAAACATGTTAAAATAACACGGTCTATGCAAGACATTCTGTCCAATTCTGATCTGAAGGATTTTCTAAAGCAAGGTTGGCCATAAAACAGTACAAATTGAAATGAATAGAAAATAGGGTTATTGTCTCTTTGACACATTCCCCATTTCCATTCTCAATTTTATTAGAATAAAAAAACATGTTGCACACAGTTGCTTGTAGACATGGTAGATAGTATGTTTTATTGAGGTTGAACATTTTTGTATACTTATTACATATTCTGTGAAGTTTTGAATATTGATCAGAATGATTAACTTCTTTTTAGATCAAAAGAAGAAAACCAAAAGTAAAATAGGGAAACCAGTTCCTTATGATGGTGTGTTAGTTTCACAGCTGATAGCAGAGAGAGACAAGATTAAACAGACAGACACAAGAATTTCTGATTTAGTATATATTCCACATAGTTTGGCCGAAAACAAAGTGCATAGTGAAATATCAAATAACACAAACACAAGCATTCCAGAAAAACCACATTACAATCATTTACACAGTGTTTCACAAGGAAACCAACCTTTAAGTTCAGTCACTAATTTTGTTCCTGTTACAAGTCAGTTAAATGACAACATACCACAAAATTTGTTAAAAAATGTTCAAACAGCTACCAGTATAAGTATTGAAGCACATGATAATGATAATTTACAGACTAGCATATCAGACAATGTCAGGTTGGTTGTTACACCTCTCAGTGAAGCAAATGTTGAGTTTTATAACAATACATCTGAAATCAATTCATCTCAAGAAACATTGATTGATAAAAAGCCTGATACACTGTTATCTGGAGATGAGAATGTAAAATCAAACAGTATGTTAAAGATTTCTACACACAGAGAAAGTCCACAAAGTATTCGTGTAGATTCCACAGTTATGGATGTGACAGAAAATAGATCTGGAGACAATGAAATATCATCAAGTCTTGAAGAAAATGTAATATCCAAGAAGAATGAAACAGGAGAATTGCTCTCTCCTGAACATGACGTTTTATCTAAAATAGATAAAGATACTTCATGCATAGCATGTATAGACGAAAAAATGGAGATTGATGAATCACTGACTGATGAGATGTTGAAAAATAAAGATGATGAAAACCAAGTAAAACCCAGTAGTTCTACATGTAGCAGTGTTTCTACTGCCAACCAATCAAACAAAACCATTGTACCCAATAACCAAACAGACATTTCTGCATCTGAAGAAGCAGCTACTGATATAGAAAATGACCATACTATATTGGAAAATGAAATAAAGTGTACAATTAATTCTACAACATCTGCTGAAACAAAAAAGAAAATGGAAGCCCTAGTAATAACAGATGAAATTTATGTGACTACAACTAGCCAATCAACAGCTGTCATTAGTAAAAGTGATTCAAAGTTTTCTTCAAATACATCTTCAAATAGAGACTTACCTAAAAAGTCAACCTTTCTGCCTACAGAAAAGACAGCATGCATCATTAGAACCTTGTCATCGGTAACAAATGATTCACAAACTACTTTGTCAACATTAACAAACGAATCACCAACTATTAGCAAAAATAATAACATTGCTCAACCGTCATCTTCATTGGGTATTTTAAAGGACACATATATAACAGCTACTGAAGCATTGATTAACACTGTGGCTTCGAATACACAAACAACTAATGTGACTAGTTCTGTTCAGCAAACTACAAAAACAGAGGGGAAACCTGATAGTCGTGATTTGAGAATTTCTGTGCCAAGTACTATTGTCACATCAATATTATCAAGTATAAATGCAGTTAAAGGGCATGAGACGGCAGAAAAGAAACAAATTTCTCCTCGATCAACACAAAAACCAGCATCAAAGCAGCAAAAAGGGGGCAGCACAAATTATGGAGGTACAGCATCATCCAGAAAGTCACCTAAACCTCCAGCATCATATGATTCGTTTTCTATGTACCAGTTAAGATATCCCATGATGCATGGAGTATTTCCACCTGTTTCTAATTCTCAAGTGAATCCTTTCGGCTTAAACCCATTTACAGGACAGCTCATGACTCCAGGAATGTTTAATTTTCCTTCTTATCCAATGATGAATGATGCTTGGATGGATCCAAAAATACCAATAAGGAAGAAATCTCCAAAAACCAACAAGAAAGAAAAAGTAAAAAAGAAAGTCAATTGTGTATATGACAGTGACACACCACCCCCAAATGTAGATGTTAGTCAGTTACAGGATCATGGGAAAGGTCCTATTCCCAAAGTTTCAACATCAGCATCTTTCATGGATGATCCATCTGCTTTTTTGGCAGAACAAACAGTGCTTATAAGTAGTTCATTAACCTCTAATTTATCTAGCCCAGCAAAAAAATCGAAGAATCCCTCAAAGAAAGATGATAAGAATGACACAGTCGATGGGGATGTTAAGACCGCAACTGTTTCGTCTAGTAAAGTGAGTAATATCACTAAAACTACAACTTCAATGTCAGTTTCAACACCATTTACATTAAGTAGTGCATCACATGGTATGGTTGTGACTAATAGTACTAGCCTCTCAAAGGTTGGATCTGCTTTTAAAAATAAACACTGGGGATTACCAATCCCGATTTCAGAATCTCATTCCATATTAGAATGTAATGAATCAGATATGTTCACAGAAGACCGATGTGAATCCTTGTCCCCAGATTCAGGTAACGAAGGCCTTTCTATGAATGAGACAATAACTCCTAGCTCTGTTGTTCATCATACTGCCACAAAACTTTCTAAGGAGAAAACACCAGAATCTCATTCTGATAAGAATACAATACAAAACAATAAAATATTGGATATTTTGTCAAATGCTAAGAAAGGTTTTCCACCTGTAGGTCCAATTGTAAAAAAGATTTCACCTAAAAAAACTGTTACCAGCGTGACATCATCATCTATGACTCAGCCAGCAGTCAAGTCTTTTTCAAATCGAAGTGCAATACAACAGGTGCTTAGCAGTGCAAAATCAAATGAGTTTCCAGCAAGTACATTGCTGTCTGCAGCTGCTAGAGCTCAAATGGCTCAACAAACTATGAATTTCCCAATAATTCCATCAGTTACACAGACACAGTTACCGTATGTGAGTCAAGTTAAGACAAGTATTGCAATGGGCAACAATGTATCACTTGTATCAGCTGATGGGAGTACTTTTCTTGCTACACAATCTAATACAGAAACGCTAAATTCAGCAAAACTACAAGGAAGTAATCCAAAGAGTGACATTGTCTCTGGACATGAATCTGTTGCTAAATTGTTGAGACAGCCAATTAACTTGAATAGAAATACTCTAAAAGGCATTGATACTATTATAAGTAAACCTCAAACTTCAGAAAAGTCATTGAACAGTTCCGTATTAGCAACAACAGTATTAAATTTGAATTCCAAAACAGTTGATTCTGTCCCAGGGGTTTCAGTAAATTCTGTTACCATTCCTAATTCTGTACCATCAAACATATCAAATAGCTTACCCCATATATTGCCAAATTTATCTGGATTACCACAGAATTTAGGACAACCACTAATGAATATTATTGGCAATAACTTAGGAATGAATTTACTTCCAAATGGACAAGTGGTACTGCCAGAACAGAATGGCATAACAATCCCACAAAACAATGTTCAATGTATTCCACTTCAAAATGACCATCAGACACATGCATTTGTAAATATGGATAATACAAGTCAAAGCATACATGGAATTATGACAGGAGCAAATACAATAGGAAGTTTATCCAACAAGAGTACAACACAGGTGTTACCTCTTGAATCTCAGCCTAATTTGGTGAAACCTACTGAAATGCCAAATATCACAAAAATGTCTGTGAATTATGGTGATCAGTTGCTACAGCAACAGAACATCCAATCAACCAATGGACAAATGGTTCTTATGCCAAATTTACATATGCCATTGATGCAGTATCTGGGAGCAAATTCATTGCCAGTGAATATGAATTTGGATAAAACTGCAATTCCTCAATTATGTAATATGCCAGATTTGCAAATGCTTAATGGACAAGTGCAGATTGGGTTATCCCAAGTGGGAGCACCTTTAAACGTGATGAATGTTCAGCAACAAGTATGGAACAATCTGAATACAGGAAATCTGACAGCTATGCAGATACAAACATTACAATTACAACAACAGTTGCTTCAGCAAATTCAACAGCTTCAAGATATGCAGTCATTGATTAGTCAGTTCAGTCTCCAAGGGAACAGCTTACCTGTGACGACTAGTGCCAGTAGAGACATTTCCATGACAACAAAAGAAAATCCCATTACAGGGAAAGATACTCCTGAAACAATGGTTTCCATTGTGTCTACTACATGCCAGGAAAGTCCAGGAAATGATGAAGACGGATCTGGCAATTCAGAAGATAAAGGAACTTGCACAGATTTTGATGAGGGTGACGATGACTCCAATTATCTGAACTCTATTGAGGAGGACAGGGAGGACTATAATGGTGATGTTGCGGATACAACATGTGGTCAATCATCACCCATGGAAAGAGATGAAGATGAAGAAGATATTCAGGTAGAAAATTTATATGACACTCATACCTCTGAAATTGAAACTGACAGTGAAAATTCTGGTGCTTTTCATGGTCTAAGAAATACTTTAAGTGGTGCTAGTAGTAATTGTAGCACTGCTGAAAATTTGACAGAAAATGTCAGTATGTGCCATACAAACTATACAAGTGAACCGGTGAATCTTGTTTACATTAAAAAACAAGACAGTTTATGTGCGAATGTATGTACTAGTAGTAGTGGTGTAGTTGATTCATCTGTGATGTCATCTAAAACCCAATCAAAATATAGAATTTCAACACAGTCTTCAATAAAGAAATACAGTTCTGAACAACCTTTATATTCAACAGAGACATTGTTAGATGTATCTGTGCCTTCATGTATTGAAAACACTTCCATATCAAACTCTCCAGTGAATCTGTCATGTCAGACCCGAAACATGGGCAAGGATGTTGATCAGAATGTCATTTCCTTACAACCCAGTGAAAATGAGGCCATTAATATGTCACAGAAAAGAAGTTTTGAGGAGGAAGAAATTGATGTTACAGGTAATTTTAGTACCAGTTATAATAATTTTCTTTTTGATGAAAGTGTCAGGTGATTGGAGGTATGATAAGCATGATAAGAAGGTATTAGCCCATAATGTTACTGAAGTTCCAAATTCATAGATATAGTGTAATTGTTATTATAACCTGTCATCTGCTTATTGGATAACAATAATCCTATTCAGCATGTTCAGCAAACATCATATTATTATCAAATATTTTCTTTTGCAAAATATAGTTAAGCTTTAGCCATTGTTGGCAGGCTAGATATAGTTGCCATATGGTCATTTTGGCTATGGGTTTTTAACCAGATTTTTCTAACGAAAAATCGGTTATTAAAATGATGATATACGGCGGGCGGCTGGGCGGACCTACGGGTGGCTGCCAAACAGTGTCAGCACAATAACATGAAAACGCTTTAACAAATTTTTTTCAAATTTAAATATGTTGTTTCCTGGGACTTAATGAAGGTCTTGTTCAATTTTCAAGATATAAGTATATCTCCTTTGTGAGTTATTGCCATTTTTAATATCCAAAAGTGGAATTTTTAAATATTTTACTCTTGTTATCTTTTTTATGACTAAGCATAATGTCTTATCTCACAATAAAAATTGGAGTGACAGATTTATTTGAAAATTATCTATTTCCTAAGTGGTAATGATTATAAGCTATATTATTAAACATTTTGAAGTTAATTACATTATTAATTATTAATTAGATCTGGGTTATATCTTAGCATATAATATCATTGGAGTGACAGATTTATTTGAAAATTTTCTGTTTCCTGATAAGATCTGTAGGACTGTATATATAAAGTTTGAAATTTACTAGCATGACTAGTAGGACTGTATAAATGAAATTTTAAATTTACTATTCATTATTAGACATTTTGTAGATAATTAAGTCTCCCTAAACCATATATATTCTTGCCCCCACCCCCTTTCAATTTGTGAATGTGCTTTTATCTTGTAAACGGTTGAGATCCCCACCCCTACACCATATATATTCTTGTATGGGACAATAAAACAAATCAAATGAAATATTTGGGGAGTCCCCAGGTTCACCCCCACCCCCTACTTTTTGAAAACTTGTAAACGGTCAAGATCCCAACCCTGAAACCATATATATTCTTGTATGTGACAACAAAACATATCAAATGAAATAAAAGGCGAGTCCCCTGGGGTCACCCCCACCCCCTCCTGTTTGAGAACTTGTAAATGGTTGAGATCCCCACCCCTAAACCATATATCTTCTTGTACGGGACAATAACACAAATCAAATGAAATGTAGGGGAAGTCCATGGGGGTCACCCCACCCCCCTTCTTTTTGAAAACTTGTAAATGTTCAAGATCCCTACCCCGAAACCATATATATTGTTGTATGGGACAATAAAACTAATCTAATGAAATAAAAGGCGAGTCCCCTGGGGTCACCCCACCCCATCCTGTTTCAGAACTTGTAAACCGTCGAGATCCCCACCCCTAAACCATATATATTCTTGAATGGGACAATAAAACAAATCAAATGATATATAGGGGAAGTCCATTGGGGTCACCCCCACCCCCCTTCAATTTGATAACTTGTAAACAGTCCAGATCCCCACCCCTAAACCATATATATTCTTGAATGGGACAATAAAACAAATCAAATGAAATTGAGGGGGAGTCCCCTGGGGTCACCCCTACCCCCTTTTTTTTTTTGAAAACTTGTAAACGGTCAAAATCTCCACCCCCGAAACCGTTAAAGCTTGGGATTAGAGGCTCTGGCTTGGGATGGTCATTTTAGATGCATTATTTTAATATAACTGTCAATTTTATGTTAAAGTCTTCAACTTTGATCTACTAAGCATATCTCCAACACTTTTATGTTTGCTATACGCAACTATTGGTGCAGCATTGAATATTTATACACAATATTCGTCAAACTGTAATAAATTCCCGTTTCTTTATTTTACGTATATATATATATGGGTTATATATAGTTATCAAAACTAACGGAATATTTTCTTTTTCCTTCGATTTATTTTGCTGTAATAATTCAGTATGGTCAATTGATAAAGCATCAGTAATACTATCATCTATTTCGACATTATCATAACCCCTATCTAATAATTTCACTTTGAAATTAGTTAGATTGTTTATTAAATTGTTATGGTCATTTGTGTTTCTAATTTTCTAACGGTTGAGATCCCCACCCCTAAACCATATATATTCTTGTACAGGACAAAAAAACAATTCATATGAAATAAAGGGAGAGTCCTTGGGGATCACCCTCCCTTTTGAGAACTTGTAAATGGTCGAGATCTCCACCCCTAAACCATATAAATTTCTGTTCGTAATTTCAAGAAGATTTGAATGACATACAGGGTCAATCCATAGGTGTCACTAATGCATATCATAAACCAATTTGTACTGGACATTGCCCAATGTCAAGCGACAATGGGAATGACGAATTGTTGGAGCTTTGTTTGGGAGACTTCGTAACAGCATTCTGTTAAAATAATTTCTTGTTACTGATAAGTTTTATAGATTTTGAAATGACATTGTATTAATGATAAATAAAATTTTGGGATTTTTTTTTCTTTTCTTTGGTAAATTGTTTGTAGAATTTTGTGGCAAGTTTGTTTGTTATTCTGTAAAAATTAATTTTCTGAATGCTATATATATTTTTTTTTATGAAGTAAACTCCTTTAAAAACTAAGCATATATTGTCTATTAATAAACATATATTTAGATTTCTGATTTTGGGCCAAGTTTTCAAGTTGGTCCAAATTGGGGTCCAAAATTAAACTGTGTTTGATTTCAACATAAATTGAATATATATAGGGTTCTTTGAAATGCTTAATCTAAACCTGTATTTCTTTTCATTATTAATAAGATAATACCACATTGAGGTCCAAAGGGTCCTAAATTACACTTTTGATTAATTTCATCAAAAATTGAATTCTTTGGTTCTTTGATATGCTGATTCTAGCAATATTTGAGTGTTAAATCATATCTAATTTTAGAGAACTTAGTCATCACTGGTTGTTGTTATTATATTATTGATTATAATTTGAAAAATTGCATCATATCTAATTTTAGAGAACTATTTATCCAGTTTGAGTTATTTCCCTTTGCACAGAAAATATTATGGATAAAATTAACCTGTGTTTCATTTAAACATAAATTAAATATATATAGGGTTCTTTCAAATGCTGAATCTAAACCTGTATTTAAATATTAGATTTTTGGGCCCAGTTTTCAAGTTGGTCCAAATCAGGGTCCAAAATTAAACTTTGTTTGATTCAACAAAAAAATGATTTATTGGGTTCTTTGAAATGCTGAATCTAACCATGTATGGAGAGATTTTGGATTGTGGGCTCCTTTATTAAATTGGTCCACATTGAGGTCCAAAGGGTCTTAAATTAAACTTTTGTATGATTTCATAAAAAATTGAATTTTTGGGGTTCTTTGATATGCCGATTCTAATATGTACTTAGATTTTTGACATTGGACCATAATAGGTATTTTAATGTCCAATTTCAAGTATTTCAGTTCTTAAACCACATTCATTTTGTGTCACAAACCTATGCTGTTTCAAATATTCAATCACAATCCAAATTCAGAGCTGTTTTAAGCTTAAATGTAGTGTCCATACTTGCTCAACTGTTCAGGGTTCGACCTCTGTAGGAAATCCGGTTTGCTGTCACTCTGACAGCCTCTTGTTGTTAAATATTTTGAAACTACCTCACCACATTCACTCAATTTGACCTTATATTATTGTGTCAATAAAAGCTCTTTAATTATATGGTTAGTACAGATAGTTTATTGAAAATAGCAGACGAATAGGATTATCATTGTCCATGAAATGTTCTTTTTATTAATAGTAAAGACAGAGAGTTAAACATTCCATTAGAGCAATTTAGTCTAGAAATTCAAGAAAAAAATATAATTTTTTTTACTGAGGAAAAAAAATATGAATGTCTAAGGGATATAACTCTACCTCTAAAACTATTTAGCTGTATTAGTAAATATAAAAAAAAAACTCTTTTTTTGTGAAGTGCACTCTTAGATGGGTATGTTTTACTTAAACAAATTATTAAATTATTCCAAATCTTACACTTGGTACTAAATGAAAAATAAAATTAGATGACACCTTGTGTACCTTGTATTGCAAAGAAGATTCTATTGAGACTTGCAGGATTTTATTTTAGATGACACTTTTGAGTCTGCCAGTCCAGTAAAAGGATTACATGACTTTTCTATTGGAGATTTGGTTTGGGGACAGATCCGTGGGTTTCCTTCTTGGCCAGGAAAAGTTGTACATGAGTCTGAAGTTTATGAAGCAGAGGAATTAGAACCTGGAAAGGTATGACTAATATTTTATATCTATTTAAGATGGACATACTATGTGTACTTTTATCTGTTCATTGGAGCTTGTTCCTGTAACTATAATCTGGTTTACCTCAGTCAGTTTGTCTGCATCTGTAAGTCTGTAAATCATTTCTGTTGCATTTCTTCAGCAACTATAAGTCGAGGCTTTTTGATATATACGCCAAGCTGACCTGTTGTCAGTTCCTTTTGTAAATTACTTCTTTTTTGTATAAAGAACTTATGAAATTAAATCACATTTTTGTCAGCAACAACAGTCATAGCTTCTTGACATATTGGGCAAATAGCAAAATTTGATTGATTCACATATTTAATGCAAATTAGAGTCAACAAAATTGAGAGTGTTGTATAGTTAGTGAACAATACATCAGAGTACATCTTGTTTTTTTTTTTTCAGTGTTGGGTAAAATGGTTTGGTGATCATACTTTCACTCAAGTAGAAATGTTAAAACTGAAAACTTTAACTGAAGGACTAGAAGGACATCAAAAATCAAAGAAAAAGAACAAAAAGTAAGTATTTCCTCAGACTGTATCTAAGGGAAGTGTGAACATTACTTGAAAATAAAGGGGAACCCCTAAAAGGGAATTCAAATGTTAAGTTCTACCACATTTGTGCAATGTCTATAAAAATCAATGATAATTTAATCGTTGGAGATCATTTGGCTGTAATTTTTGTTGAGCCTGCAACTTCTGTCGCAGAAAGCGAGACATAGGGATAGTGATCTGGTGGCGGCGGTGTGAACAAACTTCTTAAAAGCTTAATATTTCAGAAGGTAGAACTGGATCCTTCATACTTTGTTTATAGATGCATTATGTTATGAAGTTTCTGTGTGTCATATGTCCATTGTCCTTGACCTCATTTTCATGGTTCAGTGACTCCTTGAAAAAAAAAGGTAAGATTTTTAGTATTCTTAATTTCTCACTTGACCTCGACCTCATTTCATGGATCAGTGAACAAGGTTAAGTTTCCATGGTCAAGTCCATATCTCAGATTTTATAAGCAATAGGTTTACTTTATTTGGTGTATGGAATGATTGTAAGGTGTAAATGACCAACTGGCATCTGACCTTGACCTCATTTTCATGGTTCAGTGGTTAAAGTTAAGTTTTCCTGATTAAGTTTGTTTCTTAGATACTATATGCAATAGGTCAACTATATTTAAAACATGTAATGATTGTAAGGTGTATATGTCTGTCTGGCAGGGTTCGTTTGACCTTGACCTCACTTTCATGGTTCATTGATCAATGTTAAGTTTTCCTGGTTAAGTTTGTTTCTTGGATACTATGTGCAATAGGTCAACTATATTTAAAGCATAGAATGATTGTAAGGTGTACATGTCTGTCTGGCAGGGTTCATCTGACCTTGACATCATTTTCATGGTTCTTTACTCAATATAAAGATTTCATGGTTTGGTCTGTTTCTTGTATACTATAAGCAATAGGTCAACTATATTTGGTATATGGAATGATTTTAAGGTGTACATGTATTTCTGGCTTGGTTAATCTGAACATTTTCTTTTACCATTTTAAGTTTATGTGATACTTGTAGTAAAACTTTATATTTAGGACGATCAACCTAAAATCAATGGTCAGTAAATTAAGCAAGACATTTCAGTGTATTCACTCTTGTTTTTATTAAGTCTCTCAAACGAAGTTTGGGAAGACTTATTGTTTTTGCTCAGTTCTTATTATTATTATTATTATTCTTCTTCCTCTTCCTCTTCCGCCACATTTGAATTTGAACTTGTCCGCACCCGTTCTCCGAAACCGCTTGTCAGATTAACTTAGGGTTTCACAATATGTTAGACTAACATGTCTAGTGGTGCAATCAGGGTTTTGTTTGTGCAATAGGGTTTATAAAGGGGTACTTTGAGGGGCGAAATGAAAGGAGGGTTTTACTATAGAACCCTATGGGATTTTATTTTTTTAAATTTTCAAATGATTATAAATTGAAAACCGTTTGTGATAGACACAATCTATTTAATTGAAAATGTTCTAAATGATAAAGCACATTAAAAGAAATACAGGGTTAGTCCCCAGGGGTCACCCCCACCCTCTGCCATTTAAGAAAGTTCTAATACCTTGTAAGTGGTCAAGATCCCCACCCCTAAACCATATATATTCTGGTTTGTCATGCTAAGATGGTTTGAATGATATACAGGGTTAGTCCCCAGGGGTCATCCTGACCCCCTGCCATTTGAGAAAGTTCTAATATCTTGTAAATGGTCGAGATCCCCACCCCTAAACCATATATATTCTGGTTTGTCATTATAAAGCAAATCAAATGAAATACAGGGTTAGTCCCCAGGGGTCACCTCCACCCCCTGCCATTTGAGAAAGTTCTTATATCTTGTAAGTGTTCAAGATCCCCACCCCTAAACCATACATATTCTGGTTTGTCATGCAAAGATGGTTTGAATGATATACAGGGTTAGTCCCCAGGGGTCATCCCGACCCCCTGCCATTTGAGAAAGTTCAAATATCTTGTAAATGGTCGAGATCCCCACCCCTAAACCATATATATTCCTGTTCGTCATGTCTTGAACATTTGAATGACGTATATGGTCAGTCCCCAGGGGTTCCCCCCACCCCCAATGTTCTAATATCTTGTAAATGGTCGAGATCCCCACCCCTAAACCATATATATTCCTGTTCGTCATGTCTCGAACATTTGAATGAAGTATAGGGTTAGGCCCCAGGGGTTCCCCCCACCCCCAATGTTCTAGTAATTTGTAAATGGTCGAGATCCCCACCCTTATACCATATATATTCTGGTTTGTCATGCCAAGATGATTTGAATGATATACAGGGTTAGTCCCTAGGCATCACTAATGCATATAACTTTACTGGACCAAACCAATTTTCACTGGACTTTGCCCAATGTCAGGCGACCCTGGGAATTACGAATTATGGGAGCTTTGTTTGGGAGACTTCGTAACAGCATCCTGTTACAATCATTTCTTGTTTTATATGGCTCTGTCTTTCAAATCTCTTGATTGCATATAAATTGGTAATGATTAGTTGCCCCGCACTACTAAGTGCAGGGGACACAGAAATACCATTCTTCTGTCTGTTCCTGCGTCAGTCCTGTCTTGTAAATGCTCTCACATGTACAATTCTTTTCAGATTTTTGTGAAATTCAGAACAAAGGTTTATCACAGCAAAGTCTTGAACATGTTAGAAAACATTATTTTTAAGTATTTACACCATACTTGTTTGTAATGACTGCATAGATTCTGTCCTCAATACTAGTTTGTAAAGGGTTATGCCCCTTGCAAATATGAATTCTATGAAAAAAAGGTATTGTCAGTGCTCTCAAGCCTACATTACTTAGAGGATTGTTATGAAATTTTTTTTAAAGGCTTATATCAGCAATGTCTCTTGACAAGTTTTAAAATCAGTGCAGATCAACTATGCCTTTCGAAATATAAGTTATATTGAAATTGCATTGTTAGCTCTCTTAATATAAAATAAGGAGATGCATCATTGAAAAATGAGACGACTATCCAAGTGAACAGTGGCGTAGGTTGCTTTCTGGTTTTACCGATGCAGGGGGTCTGGTGGGCTGCGCCCCCCCCCCCCCCCCCCCCCCCCCCCCCCCCCCCCCCCCCCCCGTAGAAGCTATCGAGGTTTTATAATTTGAACAAGAAGAATCTATTAAAAATGATAGTTGTTGTTTAATTTAAATTCAACATAATAATGTTAATATGCCTTACACTAAGTTATACTACCGATTTATTTGTGATTTCTGGAACCTGCATCATTTTCAATGTTCAGATGAATACATTATTCAAAAGCATTTATCACTTTTTCACTAGAATCGAATCCTTTCAGTGGACTACACAGATTAAAAATTCTTTACGAATACAGGAGATGGATTTCTCCAGTTCAAAATTGTCCTGAGTCTATAGAAAGTTGTGTATGATTTAAACCAATACTATCTAATCTATGGTCGACTCAAGTTGAAAAAAACACGTGAAGATATCACGTAAGACAACCACTGACAAGTCAGTTTCCTGACTTTCTAGCAATAACTGAAAGCCAGCTCAAAAACCTAATCTCCGAATATATTTCCAAGCCGTCGTACACTCTAATATAGGTGGCTGTACAACACTGTGGCATATGATTTAACGACATATCAAAAGAAATCATGATCTTGTTCGATGGACAGAAGAAACCTGTACAGAATTTTCAATACAGAAAAACAAACACAACGATTAAGATTTATTTGAAATAATTTTTCTGATGATCATTTACTCACTTGGTCGTGGGTCACGAATCAGCGAATTATAGATAATCATCTCAAAACGACGGACGGATTGAACAGCAGATTTTCTTGATGAACTAGGAGATAAACACATGCTACATGTAAAGTGCACCACGGCACTTGTATTGGTTGTGTTTCGTCCTGGTATTCATTGGAAGGTCTTCAAATTATTAAATGGTTTTGAACTTTATCCATTCAATATGAAAGTGACAATAGGCGAAGTACTAACATGTAAGTTACTCTGAAGTCTTCATAATAAATGAAAACAATATTTGGTTGAAATTTTTATATATAAACTGACATTATGTATCTAACAGACATATGATAAATATTTCTCTGGAATTAGTGACTCCTTTAAATATTTAAATTCCCTGCTAGTGAAAACTATAAATTTAAATCGCTAGAATAAAACTTGAGAACCGCAACATATAAATTATTTTCTGTGCATGTTGATTGATGCATATTTTATTTTGATTGGTACCAAAGTCGATGAAACTCTGTGTATTTGAAGTTCTACAAGTAGGGGAAAATGTCAACACACACCGATGTTTCAATTTTCACGGTTATAAATGAGGGTTTGAATGATCAGAATGGGGTTTTCAAATATTTATTTTTTATTATTTTTGACCACAATTTGATTTTCCATTCTTTAATATTTTAGCACCATTTCAAATCTCTATTTTTTTTTAAGTTTAAATTAATTTCAGGACCGATTTATCTGTTTTCTATAAACCTCATCCATATACCCACATATACTAGAAATTATTCTCACACAAAATTAAATAATTTATCCGATTCAATGATTAAGTGACTCGATCATATTCTACAGATTTTGCTTGCAATGGGTTAGGACTAAATAAATATGGTCGATTTTTTTTACTCCGACAAATTTAGATTACAGAAAACTACCGTAAAAGGGATTTCCAAGTAGAGGAGGAAAATGTTTCTATAAGCCTTGAATTCGCAAAGGGTATGAATCAATAGCGACAAGACAAAACAAGTCGGTTTATTAGCGTTTAGTAGCTAGTCTGCTGCAATAGGTGGAAAAAGGTGGAAATCGTTTAAAAGATTAAAAAGGAAAAGTTTTTAATTTTTTTTAATTTCTTTTTTTACTGAGGCAACTGCCTAGGTTGCCTCAACATAAGCTACGCCAATGGTGAAGTAGATTCAAGCCTACATTTCTTGTAGGACTGTAATGAAATTTATATCAAAGGTTTATATAAGCAAATGTCTCGAACTTATTC